TCGTGTAGAAGACAATCAGTTGGGTGGACACTCAGGAGCACCACGAAGGGAGTAAAGCAGAGATGTTGAGGATTTGTGAGAACAGGGAATGCTAAGGACAGTAAAATGGGAGCTTTCCTTGTCTTAGGGAAGACAATCACATCTACTGTAGCAACTGAAGAAGGGAACACAAGCGTCATCTCACTCCTCCAAAACCACCGACTTACTAGAAAAGTTGAAGGACACCAAGCATGGAAACCTCCTGCTGCTACGAGTTATCACTGTCTGACCCAAAGCCAACCAAAGCCATGCTGAAACAGAGGGCTGCTTCAGCAGCACTTCTGTTACCTTGGACTCCACCTCACCCCACTGCCTCCTGCCCCCAGCAGAGTCTCACGTTCCCTGTGCTGCTTCAGGTCCACAGCCTCTCGTCCAAAGCAGTGCTCACGGCAGCAGGCAATAGGGCTCAGGCATATGTGCCCATTTTTGTATCTAAACCTCTTCTATGGCTTCACATGATAGCTTAATGCAGAAAAGGCGCATAGAGAATAAAGGGATGCAGGGTACAGGCAGATGAAACTTGGTCCAGATACAGCCTCTGCTCTATAGACTTGCAGACGACACTGTGCACTAGGCTCTTCAGAAGAGCATGCTTCAGCCAGCATGCCTCCCCATCCTGCTCGGTTCTGCCAAACTGCACATAAGCATGCCCATTTGCATTAGTATTTTCTTCTTGCAAAGAGAAAGAGGCAAGTTGCCAGGAAGCAGCTGGGCAGGAGATCCCTAGAGCTGTGCTTTTATCTCCAAATATCGGTCTGAGTCAGTAAATGTAAACTCTCAAATTTAGTTCAAGCTCTTCCAGTTGTGACCTCTGCTCCTACAGCACCCATCAACAGTGTCAAGAAGCTGCAGCAGAAGAGCAATAATAAGGCCAGCAAATGCAGTTCCTCTCTGTTTTCTTTTCGTCAACTGGTGGCAAAAAAAGGATAGTCAAGTTCATGTCCTCCAATATGCAAGCAGATGTTGTGACATTTTAAAAGGCAAAGGTCCTATGGCTTCAGCAGGGACAAGCGTGTTTCTATTTTAACAGCTTCTTTGTTTTTCAGCTCCTGCTCCATGCTCCCTAGTACATGGGAAGGACACAATTAAAATCTGTTAGTGGTAAACTGAGGCTTCTTTCACCCTAGCCAGAGCACAGGTAGGTTAGCATTGCCTGAGTCTATAAAGCCTGTGCCTAACGACAAAAATGCTTCTAATTTATCTTCCAGTGGAGTTATCTATGTCAAAGTCAAGCAACAGCAACCCTGAGGAACCAGCCCTTTGACTGGGAAGGTGCTGGGACAGGGACCTTCTCACGGTCCTGAGCACTGCACAGAAAAGCTCCATCTGGTAACACTGCAGGACACACATCTCCATCGAGTCAGGAGATAAGAGGACAAGTGACAAGGGTGGCAAAGGAACAGCCATTCCAGTTACATTGCATTTGCCACTTCTGTTTATTTCACCCCTCCTCTTCCTCCACTAACAGGACAGGTATGTTTCGAAAGCTGAAATTTCATTTATAAGCAAGTCAGTCTGTTTCTGTCTCTGTTGAATGAACCCCTTACCCAACTCCACAGTAACTGCAACCAGCAACCCCAAGAGCAAGGCTGAATCGGGCCCTACACAGAGCAGTTTCTGACCTTTGGAGGCCGCTGCCCACACACTCTGCTGCACGTCTGTTCTCACGAATGAGAACAACCTGCTCAATCTAGCAGGGACCCGAGTCCATCGGACAACTAAACTTAGAAACCATACTGTAAGCCAACAGCCAGCATTGCTCTTCCTGAGGCTTGCTGTGACCCACCACACCTAGAAGCACATCTGATGTTACTCTCTCTTTGGTAGCTCTTCATGCTGACAGTCTCCCTGAAGTTAAAACTCTTTCGTTTACTTCATTTACAACTTAATTCAGGTTACTTCAAGCAATTTCATCCACATTAAGAGTTCTGATTCTAGGGGTAGGTGTCTCATGAGTGATCACAAAGGTAGCTGCTTTTACAGATGCCTAACCACAAGAACCTGGGAGCATAAAACTATACCTCAAAACTTTGCTCCAGCCTCTCAAATTCAATGACACTATCACAACCAATGATGATTCTTTTTCTCTGTGCATACCAGCATGAAGACAGTTTGAAAGGTAAGGCCCACTGAATGACTTAAGAGGGATGTATTCCTGTTCTACTGTGTACTGCAATGCTCCTCAAAATGTCAACTTTTCCCCAAACACCATGAATCAACTGCTCACCTCTGAAGAGCTACCATCAGCCACTCAAACCCAACAACCCAGCTTCTACTGCTTAGTAAAACAGCAGAGAAAAGGGGGCTTCTTTGCCTGTGGCTCAGAGTGGCTCCCTGCAAAAGCCACTGTGTTCCAGAGAGACCCCCAGTCCTGCGTCCTCCCATGGAACAGGCTGCCTTGGGTCTGCAGTGGAAAGCCTTACTGGAAAACCTCCAGTCCATCTTAACATCCTCAGCTTTTGACTTAACCTTTAGGACCAAGACTTTTGAGAGAATCTTGAAGGTAACCTTCAAAGGCTGCAGTAATTTAAGCTCCTAAATGCTGAAGCCACGTTGACAAATGCCTTAGAGTATAGTGGGGAGAACAGGGAAGGGGGCGGGAAATCAGACTAAAGCATTTCCTCTAACTGCTCTTCTATCTTATGCCAAAGTATGCATGCCTGCTTTCCCTGACCTATTTATGTATTTCTACTCAAAACAGCCCCATTTTAACAGCTCAAACTTGGCATGGGCAGAATGAGGAGTGTGTTCTCTCCCCAGGTATGCAGCTGGGTTTACTTTGCACCATGGAGAAAAATCAGTGAGAGGACGCAAGAAGACATAAATTTATTTCAAAGTGGCATAAAACCAGATGCTGCTGACCCTTCCTCTAATTAAGGAGCACTTCACTTTGAGAACAGGTAGCTGAACTTCACTGAGCAACATGGGACTATCGTATTACAAGAGGTGGCAGAATTTAGTTGCTCTGAATTCTATTTCCTTAATGCTGCAAATAGTGGACACCATATAACCACAAGGGATATGAGAAGCATTATGCCTGTGAGACCAGAAAGAGGAAGCTGGTTGGGAGGGGTAAAAGAAAGTCCTTATTAGCTACTGCCTAGTTAACTCTAAGCCTTCTCAAAGCCTGCACAGCCACTGAATCTAACCCTTATCAGCTTTCCAGCTGCAGAGCACTCAATCCGGGTGAAAGCCAGCAGCATAGCAAACACTGGGGGAGCATGCACACAATGAACACACCACAGAACAGCCACCCCCCGAGCACAGCTCGTCCTGGTACGCACTGGAGGACAGGAGGACACACTGTGCAGGAGGATGCCAGTGAAGGGGCTCTGGGTTGTGTCTCTGGCAGGAGGAGAACAGCAGCACCTCCAGGACACTGCTCTGGCAGGGGCCCTCCCAGTCCCACAAGTCCCATGGGAAGCAGCTCTCCTCATTCAAGCACCAGCAATAACTCAGTCCTCCAATGGAGGAAGATGTCAATGACAGCAGTAAGTCCAGTTTGGTAAAATTCAGGGGGTAAGTGGAGCCACAATTTATTGTGCAAGATGCCATAATGGTTTGACTAGGTGGTCAAATGCAGAAAGCCCGAGAGTGATCTTTCCACCAGCAGTTTCATATCAGCAGTGAAGTTCCCACAGATACTCTGTATTCC